CACACACACACACACACACACACACACACACACACACACACACACACACACACACACTTGCCTTCAACACTTACGTTGGTGTTATTGACATTCCATTGGAAGCTGGGTTCTGGTACTCCCTCAGCCTCGCAGGTCAGAACTTTGTGTTCGGCATCATCAGCACGGTGTTTGGTTAGACTGGTGATCACAGGCTTCCCTGATGTAAACACATTATTTACTTATAACATAACATTTTATCACAAACAAATATGTAATGTGATGTATGTGGGTTTGCAAAATGTTATGAGCTCCAGAAAAATAGGTGCATCCAGGAGCACAGAGCCACCGCCGATTTTGACTATTCAATGCACTTTGTCGGGTCAGTCTATGCCTCAACTTATTGTAATGCTCTTTTTTAAATAATTCAAGTTTTATTACATCTTTGAAAAAGAGAAGATTGTGCTATTACTGTAAACATAAGAGCAATATGTTTTACTATTTCAGCCAACAGAGGAGACAGAGAAAAACACATACACCCACCTTCTACTACCAGCTCAAAGCTCTGACGTCGTGTGAGGCCGCTCATGGAAACCTCACATAAGTACACTCCTGCATCAGCATAGGTCAACTTGTTAAACTCCGGCTCTTTCACTGTCTTTCCATTCTGAAAACCAGACACAATGTCAGCAATGGAGATACAACAGCAACACACTGGCCCTTGACAAGGACATCCTATAAATCCATGAATGCCAAATGTTAGACTCATCTATTCATCTCTTTTCTATGGCTACCATTATATGAGGCTGCTGAAATTTCTGCATCAACATGACAAAGACACTCTTCTAATCTAATGTCCAGTGTTTCATCCTTGTTTTTTTTTTATCTGCAGTGTATACTACTTTACTGCTACAATAATCCAGGCACTTTCTATATGTTTTATTTAAATGTTATGCATTACATTTACTCCATATATTAACAATTTTACTAGGATTCCTGCCTTTGTTTATAGCTATCTTTCAGACTCCAAGTGTAAAATTACAGGTTTGACACTACCATTGAGCTCCAGAGGAGTTGAAGGAAAAACTAATTATCACTGACTACTATTCACAGTGGTGAGATTTCGCTGTCAAGTTTTATTACTGGCTCAAGAGACGACAAGACAGTCCTGCAAACTCTTTCATTTCCTATGTTTTACTGAAACGTGTTTCACACAACCCAACCATAGCACCCTTTACCTTTGTCCAAGACACTTTGGCATCCCCTGAGTTGCTCTTCTCCATCTTCACAGACAAGGTGTCCCCTACTCTCTTCATAACCTTTCCAGTGGGACTCAGACTCAGGTCAAGGTCTGAAAACAAGAAAGAACAAGCATTATGACATTATAGTTTGTTGCCTCCACCTACCACTTCAGTTGCAATATGTTCACAGCCTCCCCCTCAGTTAGTTGTTGTGGTGAATGGGAATCCTTTTGGATACACAGTATCATTACTTAATGATTTTATCCTATTAGATAACTGTCTGAAAATGGCTTCAAACATATTTTGTAAGAGATAATATGTTCAGGAAGGTGGGACAAATGGATGGAATGTAAGCAAAGTGTCCATCCATCTTGTTGCTACTAATTAGGGCAACAAACACAATGCTTTAACCTTGAAGGCTCAGCTCTTATGTCTCCTTTCTCAAGACCTACAAGGTTTCCTTCATGCACCATTGCAAAAAAACTGTTAATTGACAAAAAACAAACAGATTTGACATTTAATAATTATCTTTTAACTTAATATGCCTGGATTTTCCTTTGACATTTGAGTGCAGTCTTATTTGAAAGTCTCCAAGCTTTAAGGTGTAACCTTGAATCACAGTTTGGTCATTTTTCTTTGTAGCTCATTCTCCATTCCTTAGTGCCACAGATGAATTCTTCTCATCATGGAAGTGGGAGGTATTACCAACGTATACAGGATCAGATCTGCAGAAAACTGCCAGGATGGCGCAGGCTGCTAAATTATTATTTCTCATGTGTATTGTAAAGGGCAGAATGGGCTAGCAACCCAATCTGTGTTTTCTGTGATGACTCCTCAACAAAGCTACAATAAACCCTAGGAAAAAACACCCCCGGGGTGCCCAAGAGGGGGGGATGATGAGCACCCCAGTCGATCAAATGGCCTGCAGCTAACATGACTGCACTTTGGAAACAGTTTGATGATGATGTTGACTAAATTCTGGAGGGAACGGTGAAGGGAGAGGCAGATGGGAAGCTATAAGCCATCGATGCTGAACAGTTCGAAGAGGAGGAAAAGAAAGGCTTACCAAAGAGCCTGAGCAGCATCACACTCTACAGACACAACAAACTGCAACTGCCCTTCAAATCTTTGGAGGAAGAATTCAAGGCAACAAGAGCCAGCGAAGTGATGCAGCACAGTCACTAAAGTGATCCAATGGTCGCCAACGCAGGGATCCAAGTGAGGACCAGCAGGAAGTGGATGGCAGAGGAGACAGTTCAGGAAGCTGAGGCAAGGCTATGCCACAGGAGGGTGGTGGAGTGGTCACACGAGGCCCAGCTGGGTTAGAATCCATTCCGACTCCCCAAACAAACTTTATCAGAGGGAAGGAAGGGCGCTGTCTAGTTCCTCTTTCCTTTCCTTTGTTTTGCTTTTTGTCTGTTTCTTTGCTTTTTCTACAGTGTCTGCATCAGTCAATGTCTAAATTTGCCTTCTTCTACTTATTTACCTTTATTTATTTATCTATTCCTCCTGTTTTTTTGTTTATTTACTTATGTTATTTTTATTTTTATTATTTATTTATCTTGCAACTCAATAGTTGACTTCCAGCAGTTCCCTACAACACTCCAGGAATAATACTCCTCAGGAATCATGGTTTGTAGGTGTGGCTAGTTGTAGGTGTGGCTTCCCACAATCTGAAAAATGTACAATGAATGAGCATGTATGTATATGTGATGTGACACATGTAAAATTCAATAAAAATATCTGAGAGGAAAAAAAACAGGTTTCTAAAGAAGTGGAGACTCGGTAAGTATTGTGTTTGAAAGAATCGCTGTCAGTGCTGGCATTCCCTGCTCGACAACAAAAGAACCTATGTCATTCAGCACTGTGATGGAATGAGGAAGGAATTTCAGGCTGTCTGCCCGTGAACTAGCTCTCTACCCATCAGTCTCATAAACGTGTGTTGACTGAGCCTTATTAATGTGGAGAGCTACCCACTCAGATGTGTGGCAAATAAAAGTTAAAGGTCCCACCCAACATGAGTAACAGACAGAGGGTCAGTGGACAGAGTATGAGGTCAGTGGGGTATCTCCTGCCAGGTCAGGGGCTTTTGTTTGGGGAAATACCTGAATGTTGCACCGTGCTTGTGGTTACAGTCTCAAACTTTCATTTACACTAGTATGACACAGCAGAGGATAAGGTACCATTCTGAAGGCTATAGGTATGTTTGTCTTTTACCAAAGTGGTTTACTTGAAAGGTCAGTGTGTTAGAAATCATAAAGTGATCTATTTCCTTTCCCCTCAAGTCAAAATCAACAAGAAGTTTTTACTTTTGAAACGTCTGGTGTGTTCCTGGTGGAAACACAACAGACTTGGTTTAATGTTGGTGTTTGTATGAGAACAGAATAATGGAAACTCCTCCATGAATCATATTACTCTACAGGTAACTTCCCAAATGTACTGTGTAATCTACAGTAGCAGCCCCAAA